ATAGGGGCTTCTCAGGGCCAACACCCACCCATCCCACCCAGGGGAGGACATCCACCACACAGTAATCTCGTGCGTGGGAAATTAACGTCTCCTACCCCTAACCCTGCAGGAGACGGGGCCTACGGTTTATTCGTCCTTATCCGAGAAGACTAGAATATCGATCCATTTCTTGATTAGTATGCTTAGTTTGCTGGAAAAGGGTTAACTTTAACTTGCACATCTTTACTTAATGTCTCGACTACTCGATTTTTTTATTTAAAGTCATAACTGCTTAGCTCCTGCAAGGTGATTCCGAGCTTCAAGGAACACAAATCCTTCACAAAATAATAAAAAAAAGCGGATCGATGATCGGGTAACAGACTTTGCCCGCTGCCACTGTCCTTGTTCAGCTACGTACGTGTCAGAACTTGTTTACGCCACAATTTTAAAACTTGAAAACTTCGAGACTTACCCATCCGGTACAGATTAGATGCTCAAGCCAGAACCAATATCAGGTAGTTACATGCTATCAAAAAGTATAAATAAAATTGGAAAACTGGCAACCCTTTAAGTTTACTTTAAGGAATAGCCAAGCCTTTCGAAATTTTCTTCCCGTGCAGCCATGAGCTTACGAATAGAGGATAGTTGAAAATGGAGAGGTTTTTCGCATGGTTTTTTCGCTCGATTTCTACTGATAAATTCAAACGACAAGGTCGTGAGGGGACTGTTTCTATTGACATCATCCTCGTAAAGAATTCTCATTTCCAGATTTCTTTGCCGTACGTTCGCTTAAAACAAAATTGAAATTTACCTCAGTCTCTTTAATAACACTTTTAAAGGTCACTATCAACAAAATTAAGTGTCTACCGAAAAATTTTAAGTTTCAGTTTATTAGATTCGCCGACAGGCAGGGACACCACAGCAGCTTGCGCCAATTACTGCGGGCCCAGTAAATCCCCCCATCCCATCCCAGGGGAGGACATCCATCACACAGTAATCTCCTGCGTGGGAAATTAACGTCTCCTACCCCTAACAGTCCAGGAGACGGGAACTACTGTTTCCGAGAAGACTAGAATATTTATCCATTTCTTGATATTATAGAAGGGTAGTAAATTCTCCTCAGTCATTTTACAAGACGCTGAGTGTTGGTCCGGCCGGGACTTGAACCCTCGACCTCCCGCACAACAGTCCGGCGCTCTATCAATTGAACTATCCTGCAGGAGGCAGTTAAAATCATCCTACGCGGGAATTTAAAAGACACCACAGAAACTATATATCACTGGAAAGCTTAGATTCTGTATAGATTCTGTAAAATAACAAAAGTTTTTAACAGTTTTTATTTTTGAAGGCACGTGCAAGCCTTTAAAGGCAAAACTGACGGTGTTTGCTTAGCCAGCCTCTGCGTTACCGCGGACATCCAAACAAACAGGACCGAACACTTAGCATATGATTTGCTAACACATGGCCTGAGGCTTTTCCGATATTCCTATTGGTTCCGAGAAAGTCTGATTCAAAGTTGGACAATAAAAGCCTCACACCCTTTTGCGCACAAAGAAGGTTAAAAATCTTTATTTTGACAAATTAAACTTAAAAAAAAAACCGAATTTTTGAAAATTTGGACCAGAATTTTTTGACAGTGGCCATATTAATTTGAGATTTTTTTAGGGGAAATCCCATTAAAAGGACTTGATAGGAAAGTAGAGCCATAAATTATACTGACAATGAAGTGAAAGTTAAAGAGGATTTTACATGACAACGCGTAACGTATTTTCTCTTCGAAAATTATCACCCCGAGGAGATAGATTCGCATTAACATGATGTATTTAATTATTCTAGTTACAATATTCCTTTGAAGGATATTCTTTAATTGATTGTACTGATCACCAGCACGTAACGTTAGAAGTGTATTGGATTAATGAGCGAAGAAAAAGTTTCTGCTTCATGTTTGATATTGCCTTGTTTTGTATATATGACACAAACCATGTCGTTAGCCAATGGTGGGATACAGGTCGGATACAGCTTGTACTAAACTTAGGAATGATGAAATGATTTACACGCTGAGGTTTCACAACGAAACGACAATTGATACGGAAAGAATTCAATAAAAGAAAACGGAACTAGTACTTGCGCGAGGGATTGTTGGGTGAATTATTTGTGATGCACAGTTTTCTGCTGAAAACGTGATGGGATCAGACACTGAGTGAAATACGTTTAAAGACAATTTGGGTTGCGATCACTTTACTACTTTTTGTCTTCGTATAGAAGCAATGGCAATTCAATTATTTACAGCTTAAAAAATGCTAACGTCATTCGACAAGATTACCAGAAAAATCTCTCTGATATCCGCTGCACGTTTTCATATCCGCTACAGTCGACGAATTTCCTTCTTGAGGATTAAGAAGAACTTCTCATCTTAATAAATTCCTAGCTCATTCTAACGAGTTACTACTAATTAAGGGCTGTCAATAGCGTATAGATAAAAAGCATGATATTTGCAACTTTCTAATAATAACAATCTTCTTGAAAAAATTTAAAGGAAAATAACAATGTCAGTCGAGAAATACCGAGGTTTTCCTTCATGAGTATTCACAAATCACGCAACTACTTTACGATTTAACTACGGGTGCTATCAAAGATGTTGCTATTAAAATTTTGAGTGAGAGATCAGACTGTCAAACCTTGCGCCATTGCTGATCATAGCACAAGCAGCCCAAGCGTACTGTGTGACTTTGGGTATTTCAAGCGTACGTGTAGGCCGGAAAAATTATAAGAAAAAAAAAAAAGAAAAAGAAAAATTTTAAAAGGATTATAAAAGCGAGGAATAAAACATGTGAAGTATCCTTACTTTTTTCCCGTAGCCGCTTTGTCGTTTAGAGTCCTTTTAACGCTCTTTTGTTGTAACGCGTGCGGTGTCACCAGTTAACTGTATACTAGGAAAAATTATGAAAAACTTAAGAAAAAATTAGAAAGGAAAATAAAAACGAGAAATATATCGTATGAAGTCTCCTTTCCTCTTTTCCGTAGCTTCTTTGTCGTTTACGGTCCTTTTAACGTTGTTTTGGCGACTTTCTTTGTAACGCGTGTAGTGCTACCGGTCAAAGGTGTATTCAAAAAACTCAAGGTTTGAAACTTCAACCGGTCCCTGATACCAACCGTCTCCACTCGAAAGCCGATAAATTCCACAAAAGTCAACCGATCTCCCTCAAATTCCACCCGCGGGAGCGCTTAGCTACTGCCTACCCGTTCCAGCGACAAAAGTTTCCAAATTCCGCTGCATCGATACGAGAGCCGCTCCGTTTTACCACCCGTTCTAGCTAAATTGCTTTGTAGGTACGCGTAATCCTTAGCCTTTACTACGGGATTCAAATATGAAAGTGCATCTGACCAAATAAAAAACTCTCCGGGGGATCGTTAGGAAGCGATTTAGCCAGAATGGGTGGCAAGACGGAGCGGCTCTCAGATATATGCAGCGGAATTTGGAAACTTTTGCTGCTGAAAAGGATAGGTAATTGCTAAGCGCTCTCGCGGGTGGAATTTGAGGGAGATCGGTCGACTTATGTGGAATTTATCGGCCTTCGAGTGGCGACGGTTGGTGTTTGGGACCGGTTGAAGTTTCCAGCCTTGAGTTTTTATAGAAAGGACCGTAAACGACAAAGAAGCTACGGAAGAAAGGAAAGGAGACTTCATGCGATATATTCCTCGCTTTTTCTTTCCTTTTTAATCTTTTCTTAATTATTCTCATAATTTTTCCTATTATACAGTTGACTGGTGACACCGCACGCGTTACAAAGAAAGTCGCCGGAACAGCGCTAAAACGAGCGTTGGCAAAAAAGCGGCTACGGTAAAAAGGTAAGGAGACTTCACATGTTTTATTCCTCGCTTTTATTATCCTTTTAAAATTTTTCCTTTTTTTCGTTCTAATTTTTCCCTTTTTTAATGGTCCACACGTACGCTTGAAATTCCATCTTAATATGTTAGTTATTGCCGTTAATGAACTTTACACCCAAAGTCACACACAGTACTCTTGGGCCGCCTGTGATAATAGCAGTTTGCAGGACACATGTCGCTCGTGAACATGTCTAAATTAAATACGTAGTTCTCTGTACCACAGTGTCGAGGACAGTCGAAGCATTGGAGCGCGGAATCGAAAGGATTCTTCTTTTTAGTCCTCATGGGAGGTTACACTTTTACCTTTGTCCCACGCTCGTTGGAAGAAGAATGACCCATTACAATAGTTTGTAATAAATTTTACATTCTTCTTCCCTTTTCAGTTTATCATTTTCCGGTAATCAGTCACAATAAATCTCTATTTCCTTTAAAGCTACTAAAGCTGTTTTTTACAAATTGTCGAATCTCACGATATCTCCAACAATACACAAATGGATTTAAAGACGAATTGAGGAAAACCAAGAAACCAGACATGTTGTAGGCGACTTGGAACGATGTGTTTGAGTGATTTACCATCAAAAGAGTACTTGATAATAACAGTGGAAGGTAACAGATAAGAAAAACGACATACACGTAGAAGGTATTCAGAGCTGACTTCTCTCTAGATAATTGGACAGCATTTTGCTCTTGAACCTGGCACTGAGTTTGAATTTGATTCTGATGATATCGAACGACTCTGTAAAGATAAAGATATGCCACGGTTGCGATAGCAAATCCCACTAGTTCAATTATAACAGTGATCAAGTCAGAAAGGTTCGACCGCAGTAAGATAGACACTGATGCTCCAAAAGCTGCAGCTATCCAAAGTAGAAGAAAAATAATTCCTACTCGCTTTGGCGTTACGAGCTCTTGATACCTCAGGTGTAAATACACGGCGAGAAGTCTGTCCAGTGCAATGGCGGTGACAGTCATGAAAGATGCACCTGCCACCAAAAACGTAAAGAATAGTTGAATCGTCAGAACAGTAGGACACAAGAACTGACTGCTCCTCTTACTCAAATGCAGCGCAATGATAGCGCCGTAAATCGGTTGTAAAAATAATCCCACTGCAAGGTCAGAGACAGCAAGACTTAGAAGTAGTTTTTTGAATGTAGGTGGTAGCGATACGGCTTTAAATATGGCTCGTATTGCAAGGACATTTCCAACAATCGCCACCGGAGAAAAGGCGAAGTAGAACACACAAAGTGACCACATCAATTGATTATTAAGGGAGACCGTTTTGGCAACTTCGTTCAGTCGCCTCTTGCATTCTTCTTCAAACGTGCCCATGTTTCAACTTCCAACACTAACTCACTTGTCTATCATTTATCACTTGTCAAGGCCGATATGTAGGATGTCCATGTTATTATCTTCTTAAGTAAATACCTCACCTGGCGACCAATCGCAAAGCAAAGTCAGTTTAGATATTTGAGGATCTCCACCTGTTTCGCTGAGATAGATATATTACTCTGTAGTACTATGTAAACAAACTAAGCTTTCCATTACCTAAATGAAAAGGTTCTAAGTGACAAATGAACAATAAAAAAATGTATGAATTAACTTTTTCCCAGAAATGAAAGGTATTTGGAGGAAACGGTTGTTAAACTCACCTTATATTCTTGACATGGAGAAAAGGAATGTGCCCAAAAGAACAAACATTATGAAAGATATTCTAACTTATTTTTCAAAAGAAATGGTAAGGCCAATCGCAAGCAAGAAAAACAAACTATTCATCTTTTGGGATAAAAACAAGAGCGGCCCGCTAAAATGGAACTGCAACACACAAGGAAAACCACACGCAAATTACATTCAATTTGTGTTTGAGAAGTCTCATTTATGTCTGTTCTACTGAAAGGCTCTAGAGCACGTCAAAGCTCTTAACTTCCGTTAATTTACAACAGCAACACACAAAACTAAAAGGAACGGCCTGTTAATGAGATATTCAGCGTCACAGAGGCTGCTGCATTTTGTGCTGTAGAGGAACTTTCGAGAGAAATAGCGGATATGTAAAAAAAAAAGCGAAATTGTCCCTGCGAGCAAGTCATTTACAATATGCAACGGCGGAAACAATTTACTTTTTACAACTCAGATGGGCAAAATGATTAACTGTGCTGCCTGCCAAAAAGTCGATCTAAATGTTTGATCAAATAAATGACAGGAGAGCTAGAGGGAATGGATATCTTTTATTTGTCACACGTAGGAAGGTCGGGAGTACTCGAGGCAGTTTCAAATTTCAACTAAACCGCGAATACATACACACGTTTGTAAAATTGTAATATTTACAAAAACAAATTAAATGAAAAGTTCGCCGCTTGTTTCATTTCATGTTTTTATGATCAGATTCACAAGATCACACGAATAATTAGCTTGTTTTAAGCCTGAGCCTTGATAGAATTTGTCTACTTGCAACGAGCGGGTGCTGACGCATGCAGAAAAACCCTCTTTTCCTTAATAAATATGCTACAGATGCCCTTATTACTCAGAAAATGACACCATTTCTGAGTTTTGGCAGGATTTTCAATGTCACTCCTTCTCTCGCTCCTTCCATTACGTCCTGTTAGACTTTTTAGTAAATCTGTCAACCAGTTCGCAAGGGTTTCACAGTTACTTGCATTCCAAAATCAATTCATTGACGGTCTTGCATCTGATAAGAAACCTCTATCAGTTTATATTTCGGAACAGTCTACTTAACAATGCATTTTATGTGAATGCACCTGTTTATGACTGTTATAAATTAACGAGTTTTCTTTTATCGCGGAAAAGCACAGAATTAGTTTCCTCCGGAAAAGTCTTACTGATCGATTCAGTCGCCAATGCTTACTTAGAATAATTGTATTTAATCAATCAGCCAATAAACTTTGTCTGTTCCAACAATATATACGGTTCTTGTACGTTTAACATCAGATCGCTCACAATCGAAGCGATTCACTGTATTGGGTTTGTGCCCAACAATAAAAATCAGTTCTTTGATGAAAATTTGCGTGTTGAAGGTGAACATCACATTTTCTGAGATGGGTGGCTCACAGCCACCTTGAATTCATCTCAGTATTAACAAGGAACGTGATGTAACTAGGGCATGCGCAGAAATCAATGTGAGTACGGGTCCCCAACTTAGCCAATACTAACTCTACTAACTTTACTACGAAGGCGCCGAGTATTGCGGCCACGAGAATTTTGGCTCCTCTTCTATTAGCTATTTTGATCAATTTTAAGCTTCAATTTTATTGCAACATATACTTGGATGAAGACCTTAATTCTCTCAAGTCTATATGGAAAGGAAAAGTTCGGTTGGTGGCGACGTCTTTGGAATTTCTTTCTCAACTCGTAAGTGTTACTCAGCGAGGGCGCACCGCCATGACAGACTTCGAAGGCCTATCATGAAATGGGTTAAACATGGTTATATACTGCTTGCGGCGACGGATTGCTCCCTGCCATCGATAGACATTACAGTTTTTGTGGATGTCATGACGAACCCTGGTCCTATTTCTTCAGAGAAGAGCTATGATTTACGAAAGCAAAGCTGGTCAGACAAAAGCAAGATTCCATGTTATGGAAGAAACAATTTACTCGGTTTGAGAAAGAAATCTGGTAAACCTTCGAGCCCTGTCTTAGAGACGCTTAAGAAACTACAGTTGCTCAGGTTTCGTGGTTATCGTGGAGGTTTGAGAAAAAATGTTCAGCATGTGAAGGAGAGATCTATTCAGAATATTTCTGTCATCATTGGACGAAGGGCAGAAAGTGGGTCGGCTATTCCCTGGCTGCGGGTTGAAAAACGACGAAACCCTAGCAATCTCGTCAGTGTACCAAAACAAGTGGTGTCCCGCGAACACACCTCCGCTAGTTCTGGTCAGCTTGCTGTCCCTAAACTTTTGTTTATTGACAAATGTAGTTTGGGGAAAACAAAAAGTTGGGTGCGAGCGGTTGTGGCTTTGGAGGCCGACTTTGGAAATAATGATATCGATGCCTGTGTTGCGTCGGAAACTCATTTGAAAAACGAGGTGCCAGATACGGTAGCTAATATCTCGGGTTATAATATCTTCAGAAGGGATAGGAATTGGTCTGGATGCGATTCAAGGAATAAGGGAGGTATTGCTATATATAAAAGGAGTAATCTTTCAGTTATTGATGTTTATCATTCTAATTTATACGAGTCCTGACTGTGTTGCTGCCAAGTGGGAATTACATTCTTTTATCTGGTCTTTATCACCCCCCGAAAACAACATACCAGGAATGCGATTTAATTGATTATCTTCTTAATTTCTTTGACACAATGCTGGACAAACACCCAAACGTTGCTATTGTTTGTGGTGGCGATCTTAATCACCTGGGTCTCCCGAGACTTAAACGCATTACAGGTTGGACCGCTTTAGTGGATTTTCCAACACGAGGGGATTCATTTTTGGATAATTGTTTTACAAATAGGACAGATCTCTTCGGCAAAGCTTTTTCTATAGAGATGCTAATTAAGACGGATCAACCTGGATTTATGGTTCCAGGGGGCAAGAAACTCAAGCCTATTCGTCAGAAACGGCAATTTAGGGATTGTCGTGAGCATAGAAAGCGAGCTCTTTACCTTGCTCCCGCATCGGAATGCTGGGATGATGTTTTGGAGGCGGGTAACATCGAAACATCTTTGAACATCTTAGAATTGAAGATCCTGTCAAATATTAACTGGTGCATGCCTTTACAAACGGTTTCCCTTTCGTCCCGTGATCCAAGTTGGATGACACCGCTAGTTAAATACATGCTACGTAGCAAGTCTCGCATCTCTGTTTTACGCATTAATAAGCATAGGGAACTTAGTAGGAGGGTGTTAGAGGTTATTGGCGAAAACAGAGAGTTGCTTCTGGAGGGCAAAATGGGGAGCAGAGAATGGTGGAAAAACGTAGACTTGATATCTCAACGCCGGCGATCCACAAACGTTTCACTGTATAGAGAGACCGCTCAAGATTTGAACGAGTATTTCGGTAACCTGTGTACGGATGGCGATTAAGTTGAGCCCGCGTTACTTGAAATTGGTCCTGAAGTGAAAGTCCCGGAAATTAGTGAAAGATATGTATGGAACTCACTGAGTACTCTAAAGAAGACTGCAACTGGTCCTGACCAAATTTCGTATTGGGTGTGGAAACACCAGGCAGAGATCTTCACTCCCATTATTACTAAGCTATAGAATTTGTCTCTCGCTACGCATCAGTGGCCTAGATCGTGGAAAAGGGCAAATATCAACCCATTGCCAAAAGTTGATGTTCCAGCGAAAAGAGGGGACTTTTGAAGGATCAACGTAACCCCTGCCATAGCAAGAGCCCTGGAAAAGGCAGTCTATAAGATTCACGCTCAAAAACCGGTAGAAGAACAGCTCCTGGATAGTCAATTCGTGTATAGAGAAGGAGGGAGCTGCACAGATGCTCTACTACTTATCCAGAATAAGATCTGCAAGTTTCTTGATGATCCCAAGTGCAAGGCAGTGCGGATGTTCGCGATGGATTTCAGTAAGGCCTTTGACTATGTGAGCCATCAACTCCTTGCTGAGAAACTTAAGAGTCTATCACTTAACCCGTATATTATAAACTGGCGGTTGGGTTTTTTGCAAGATAGAAAACAAAGAGTCATTTTCGGGAATCTTGTTTGTAATTGGAAAACAGTTAACAAGGGCACAACCCAGGGTAGTGTTTCAGGACCTTATCTGTTCAATATATTTCTTAACGATCTGGAAATTAAATTAGGAAACGAGACACTTGGTTTCAAATACGCTGATGACTGTACGATTATTGCTCCGGTATATAATGACATAGATCACTCTGTAGACTTAAGAGGCCTCTGTAGACTTAAGGACCTTATCTGTTCAATATATTTCTTAACGATCTGGAAATTAAATTAGGAGACGAGACACTTGGTTTCAAATACGCTGATGACTGTACGATTATTACTCCGGTATATAATGATATAGATCACTCTGTAGACTTAAGAGGCCGTGACTGTATATATCGAGAATTGCTGGCCAGGCTAAAAAAATCAAAAATTCTGATAATTTGCCTGGAAAACCCCTTTAGGGAGATATATTAAAAAAAATATTTCAAAGTTTGAAAAATAAAATGTGTCCGAGGAAATGGGGAAAAACGAAAATTCGGGTTTTTACCTAATTAATTTTACAAAAAATATAGTAAAATTGAGCAACTTTAGCGTGCTAGTACTAAAGGAGGATGTTTCCCAAGAAATCGGGGATGTTTTTACTTCAAAGTATAATTAATGTAACTTTTATATGTGGCATTTTAAGGAGCTTTGGTTTAATTTTAAAATTCACATGATTTTTTAACTAAGTGCTGTCAAATGCTTGTTGCAAAAAGCGAAAAATCGACCAGCTTCAAACCTTCAAAACGTGTCTTGGTATGTGTGGCATCATGTCAAACTACATGCTGGCACAAAGTTTGGTCCTTATACTAAAATAATATGTAATAAAAAATTTGGGTAATTCAGAAACGTGCCGGCAAAACATAAAGCTTTGCGACACACTGTGGCCAGAGGTCACGAATTTGCATGATGCAAATCAGTTGTAGAAATCGTACCGCCTAACGGTTCTGGTGTAGGAAGGGCTCTTTTGACGGCTTCAACATAAAATGTACAAGAATAATGACCAGTATTTAATAGCGTTTAATTCTTTTTCAAGCCAATGAGGTTTTTGTTTTTTATCTCGATACTGTCTTGAGGAAAAGCAAAATGTTTCAATTGCGTGACAATTGTCACGTTGGATCAAAGGTGAAGTTGCCGAGTAAAGCGGACACGATCCTTTATTTCGTCAAAACTCCATTCTAAAGCATCCAGTCCTATATATCTCGTTTTAAATTATTTGTATAAACTCTTTAATGAGTCTTTATCGAACAACATCTCGCCGGCCTGATCCTGTTTGACTTCAGGCTGACTGCCAAGTGCGTCACACTGCTGAGGCCTACAAAAGTATTTTTGGCATACCTCAGACTAGTACATTAACCATTCTAGGCCTCACGTTTCAGCCGAACTGCAAATTCAGTACTCACCTAAAAGAAAAGTTAGGTAAAGCTAATAAATGTTTATACGTTATCAGATGCCTCCGCAAAGAAGGATATAGCCGAGCAGAAGTCGATGTTTTATTTAATTCCATTGTCCTACCTAATATTACTTATGCTCTACCTGTGTATGGGGCCTCTGAGTCAGAGCTAACTATAGCCCAGCAGTTTTCAAATCGTTGTTTTAAACGTAGCTACATATCTAAGAAATTAGTGATAGGTGACTTACTTGATGTGCAAGATCACAAAATTTGTAGCAAGGTTTTTACTATCCTTAGCCACCCTCTTAGAGCCTACTTTCCTGAAACCAAGACTACGAGATATAATCTAAGAAATAAATCCCCTGTAATGCCCGCCATTCGCACGAACCGTTTTAAGAATACCTTTTTTAATAGAATTGTTTTTAAGTACAATGTAGCTTTGTAAAAGTCTACCTCTTGTATTCGATTTTCGTATTTGTCTCTATGTATATATTTATCTTATTTAGAGATACACCTAAGCTCATTTACATCCTTTTTTAAGGAACATAAGATATGTAATTTTATCTTTTGAACAATAAAGACACACTAAGAGTAACTCAGATCAATTAATCGTTTAAAAAGTCTGTCTTTCCTCCTTTCACATAATTTCCGATACGAACTCCTTTGACTCAAGAAATTTGTTTACAAAACTTTTCATTTCATTTAAGAATCGATGCTTTTTATTGGCCGTTGTTTATATTCACATACAGTGGAACCTCGATTCAACGATGAGCCTAGGGAGTGGGGAAATTGGTTAGTTACATCGAGTGTTCGTGATATCGAGGTTTTGTGGCATACATTATACTGTAACTTTACCCGGACTGAAGCAGAAGTATCGTTCTTTATACCGAGGACTTTGTTATATAGAGGTTCGTTAAATCGAAGTTCCACTGTAATAAGTAAATATTTGAAGATTTGAAACCATCATTACCTTTGAAAAAAAGAAATTTCACAACGAAAAGTTAAAAACCCGTGAAAAAGTGCTGCTTGAGGTTGTTCAAACTAATACTGAGATCAAGAGCTTCTTTTTGTGTTGTTTGGATAAGAGATCGAAAACTATGAATAAGGGATCTTCTATAATAACTTGCACTTAAGGATTTTTTCCGGTCCAATGTAGCTCTATGCACCTGTTGGACATTATCATAAATAACACATTGAAATAAATATAAACAATGCATGGAAAACCTTTGCTCACTTTGGAATCATAACTTAATCGAACGTAGTTACTGTCCTTCTATTCAACTTATCCCGGAGACACTACCACGACTACCAGCAGATTCGCATACTTGCTAGACATGAGAACGTTTCTGAGTGTGAAGATCTAATTTTCAAATTCGATTGATTCAAGGCATTTAGTCAATGTAGCTCACCATCGTAAATTAATTTGCATTTCAGTTTCTTTAAGATAAGCTCGCCATTGGATGTAAAATTAAGGTGTTCGAATTTTTCAAATAATAAATAAAATAATAATTAATGAACTTGGCAAATGCCCAGCTCAACTAACAGAACTTTCTGTAGCTTAGTGGTAAGGCTTCAGAGATTCAATTCCAGTTTGTTTAAATACCTTCGCAAGAAGGATAATATTTTATACCCATTGTACATTTCTAACTTTCCTCATCAGCTACGATATGTCGACGTTTCTTTGAAAGCTGCTTCTGACAAATTGTCGAATCTCGCGATATCTCCAGCAATACACAAGTGGATTTAAAGACGAATTGAGGAGAACCATGAACCCAGACATGTTGTAAGCCACTTGGAACGATGTGTTTGAGTGATCAATCATCAAAAGAATACTTGATAATAACCCTGGAAGATAGCAAGCGATAAAAACGACATACACGCATAAGGTATTCATAGCTGACTTCTTCTCTCTAGATATTTGCGCAACATTTTGGTCTTGAACCTGGCACTGAGTTTGAATTTGATTCTGATGATATCGAACGACTCTGTATAGATAAAAATATGCCACGGATGTGATAGCTAATCCCAATACTTCGGTTATAACAGCGATCAAGTCAGAAAGGTCTGACAGTGAAATGAAAGCTAGTGCCACAAAAGCTGCTGCAATCCATAGAAGAGCCAAAGCAATTCCCACTCGTTTTGGCGTTACAAGCTCTTGATATCTCAGATGTAAATAAATAGCGAGGAGTCTGTCCAGTGCAATGGCAGCGATGGTCATGAAAGATGCTCCTGCCACCAATAACGTAACGAACATTTGAATCGTCAGGACAGAAGGACACAGGAACTGACTGATCCCCTTATTCAACTCCAAAGCAATCATTGTGCCATACATGGGTTGTAAAAACAATCCCACTGCAAGGTCAGAGACAGCAAGACTTAGAAGAAGCTTCTTAAAAGACGCGGGTAGTGATGTGACTCTCGATATGGCTCGAATTGCAAGGACATTTCCAACAATTGCCACCGGAGAAAAGGCGAAGTAAAATACACAAAGCGAGAACGTAAATTTACGATGTAGAGAGACAACGTTGAGAGCATCGTTAAGTCGCCTTTCGCAAAATTCTTCAAATACGCTCATGCTTCAACTACCCTGCTTAACACTCAATTTTGTTACTTATAACTCGTCAAGGCTGCTATGGCTGTTATTATCGTCGTGAGAAAATGCTTTATTAGCAACCAATCGTTCAGTTAAAGCAGCTGGCATCCAGGGAACAAACAAGGCAAACCCCACGCGAAATATATTTCAATCTCATCTAGGACAGCTGGAAAAAAACGCAACAATTGTCCACACTCAGAAATTAATCAACATCTCAACAAGTATCTTCTGAAATAAAACCCACAATATCTCGTTATAAAGTGTATAAAATGGACTTCTAAAGAAAATATGAATTTAATCATCGAAGCCCAGGACTTTCCTGAAAAAGTAAAAGACAAAAGAAGTAAGAAATATTGTAAAACTTGTGGCAAAAGTCACTTATCCTCATAAGTGTAGGTTACTGAAGAATATATGATAAAAGAAGTTAATTATTAACATGCAAACAACCTTTCATGAAAATCTGAAAGCAAAAGAATGAATAATAACTTTTTCACGAATTTTTACGTGCGCCCATGTCATTCAAAAGAAATTAACCTAAAAAACGCAACAATTGTCCGCACCCAGTTTTTAATTAATACCTCAACATATATTTACAATCCTGACTTCAGTCTGGTCTGCGAGCTACCCATCCTCTAATAGATTACCCGCGTAACAGGGTAAAAGTCACGTATCCTCATATGAATAGGTTAGTGAAGATTTTTTGATAAAAAAATTTAAGTATTAACATTTAAGCAAAATTTCCTTAAAATCTGAAAGCAAAAGAAGAAATGATAAATTTCTCATTAGTTTTTACGTGCGCCCATGTCATTCAAAAGAAATTAGCCAAAAAAAAAATTTTGGCAGGAAATTCAGCTTTATAATAGGAGAGTGGACCCTGATATGTTACAAAGTGAATGAATTTGTAAATCTCACTAATTAGGGTCCAAATGTCAAGATTTTTGGGGTAAATTTTGGATACCTGAAGATTTGGAGGTTTTAGATGTTGGAAGGTCTGAAATTGCCAATGAATCGCACGTAACCGACGCAACCAAAAAGCGCATTTCCATCGTAACAGATGATATCTATCGCACTAGGCATCCAATTTCGCTTGTTCACTGGCTTGAATCGCATCGCATCCGATCGCTAAAAACATGCTCTTAGCGTACATAACTGATTTTTAGAGTCCCAAAGATCAATTTATAATCGAACTTTAAAGAACTGCACGGGAAATCACAAAAGGACAACCCGAGGCGAACAAGTTCGCCTTTCAACACCACATGTTCGATGGCGACCATTTCGCAATGGCCATCATTGACTCGGCTCACCTCGATCCCTCACTCTCATTCTCTCGCTGCCGGTCCAGATCACTTTCTTCTGCACTATCCAGCCCATCAGCGGAGTTTTCATCATTACAGATCTTCTCTAACACCCTTTTCAGTGGAGACAAAGCTCACACGCGCGTTCGACGGTGAAACTTGAAATTTTCAATAAGCGTTGTGTCACTTATATTCAAATGTAGCACACCAAACTGTACGTGATTCGTTCAGCACTTCAACGTCACACTACGCGTCTTATGGAAAACCTCATTAACACCTGGTAATATGAAGAGACTGTTTTTAAGTCTTGCCTTCTCCGACTTAGCCGTGGGAGTTCTTATTCAACCAGCCTCTGCTGTTATTCTCGCTGCGGCGCTGAGCAAGGTGAAAAATGAAAGCAATAACTTGGATATTTTCTGTCCGCATCTTTTAACGGCAAAGATGTACACTTTATATTTCCTGGTGGCAGCGTCGTTTTCACGACTGCCGCCATCGCGTTGGACAGATTTACACGCCGATTTCTTGCATTTAAGATATAACCAACTTGTAACAGATATACGCGCGCGAATAGGTTTGGTACTAATATGGTTTATGAGTGGACTTGCAACTTTATCTTGTATGAAACTTCCCAAAAATAACGGGATCGTGGCTGTAGCCTGCAACAATACGGGACTTCTTGGGATGGCCATAACATACATCCATCTCTATAAAGTCGTTAAATATAACAAAAATCAGATAAATTGCCAAACACAAGCTGGCATGATTGTAAAAAATTAGCAGCTGCGAAGGAGAAAAAGTCCGCCTTAAATGCTCTTTATGATGATGATGATGATAAACTTTATTCATATGTCAATGTATTTAGCTGACACTAATTGAGGACACAACGTAAATGAATAACCTAATTAACGATAAGAAATAAGCTATAGATTATATAACCTAAGAGGTACAAATTACGCACGCGGGCCAATTGTTGCCATTTATCAGTTCGGTAAGATCCTTACGCCTAATATGTAACTTAAACCTAGAAAGGCTACTAATTTCAGTGATGTTTTTTTTTTTTAGTTTGATACATAAAAATGGTCCAAGATACCTAGGAGAGTGTTTACCATACAATACAGAATTAAACCTAGTAATATAAAAATTTTAATTTCTAAAATCATATTTACAAGACTTAGGACTAAAAATGTCACAAATAAAATCAGGAACTAGTCTATATTTAACAACTATTCGCCGAAGGCGAGGTGAATATCGTCGAATAATCCCCGAGACGAAGTCCAGCGGATTATTCGACAATATTCACCGAACCTGAGGCGAATAATTGTTTTAGTATAATTTCAGAGCTGAACAACAAAGAAATTTCTAAAATCATAACATTTTAGTAACATTTATTAACATTTTATTTTAACATTTTATATGAACCGCGCGGAACGGTTTATATAGCGTCATATGAGGAATCGCTCGACCAATCAGATTGCTGGGAACTCTTTGCTCAGCTCTGAAATTATACTAATTAACCTTAAACATAAGTATAACTATGTCTTGCAATCTCCTATTAAGAAGGCTAGGTAGTTTAGCACGATCTAATAAGTTCATGTACGTTTCTGAATGTGAATTATAAACTATCCTTAGTGCTCGCTCTTGAATTCTTTCAACTTTCCTTGTATCCGACGCCCTACAGAAATGCCATATGAGATGATAATAGGTGAGATATGGCATAATAGCAGTTTTATATAGCAATAGTTTAGTCTCCGTAGTAACCAAGTTTCTCAGCCTGGCTAGATTGCCCACCCTTTGACTGGCCTTCTTGAATAATTCGATAATATGTTTGCTAAGACTTAGATTCTCGTCTTATGTTTTTGTTATATTTCTGTTGTGCGATCTCCCGCATTTGATCAGTCGTGTTCTTCTAGCAATTTTTAAGGTACACTCCTCAACAGTAACAGCCTACTACAATACAGGCACTTTGGTCATCTTCAATTCGTCTTTGAATCCTGTTATTTACTATTGGCGATATCGCGAAATTCGCCTTCTTGTAAAAAAGTTGCTGTAAGGCAAATTTTTGCATAAATGATCATGCAAGAAAGCCTGAGAGTATTTCTGATGGATCATCGAGGATAGCTAACCACACAAACAGGACTGACTGGCATTAAATAGTAACTCCTATATTAGTTTGTAATAAACCCGTGAAGTGCTGACTCATCTCTTCACGGGTTTATTACGAACTAACATAATGACCAGCTCCCAGTTGGCTTGTTAGCTCAGTTGGTAGAGCACTGCACCAGCATCTCAGAGGTCATGGGTTTGAGTCCCGTAGAGGCCTGATTGTTTTACAGGCCTCATTTTCACTATTGCTTAAGTAGTGTTCGTTACTGCGAGGATCGCTCTTATACTCGTTCTTTAACCGCAGTTCAAATAAATGACTTTCAGATATTCACAAACGTTGACTTATAAAATCTCATAGCATATCAATTGTTGAGGCGATATTAGGCCTTTATAGATTATGCTGGTAAGAGTAGCATATTATGCTAGTAGCATTGCTTATTATTCTCTTTCTTCCAAATTATGCCTTTTATTTAAAATTATGCTCTTTGAATAAATTGCAAATAAGTCCAAAAAATACATTTTTTAATTAGAAGCCGTTGGTCTACAAGAAAGAAACGAAACAAATCCACAATGAAATTCAAATAAACATGTGGTTAATGTTAACCGGGGCTCAGACCGTTTCAGACGTCGCTCAGTGATTCACGGTGAACTACAAATACTACTACTTGAACTAAAACTTAAAACATCGAATAACGTCACCAAGTGCTTGGGAGTAGAGATGAACAATGATCAAATTGTAGAATCAAAAATGATCCGATAATTATCAAAATATGCGAATTATGCTAGCATTGCTACTAGGCAGAAATTATGCCAGTTTGCCGAAATTATGCCAGAAATTATGCTAGCATAATCCATAAAGGCCTAGGCGATATCTTCTGTTATAAAAACTAATCTATAGTCGTCCTTACAACGGAATTAACAGGAATAGGGAATATACCTATTTTTGCATTCGCATTCTTTCGAACATTTTAGTCGCCATAACGCTCTCGTGTTAAGCTTATCAATTTTATTCCTTTTTTCCTTCGCCTATTCAGGCGAAGGAATTAACTCCTCTAAAACCGCCTTCCGGTTAGTTCAATGGAGAGAGCGCTGGACTGCTGGGCGGGAGGTCCAGGGTTCAAGCCCCGGCCGGACCAACACTCAAGGTCTTAAAATAATTGAGAAGAATATGCTACCTTTCTATAACATCAAGAAATGGTTAGATGTTCTAGTCTTCTCGGATAGGGACGAATAAATGGAGGTCCCGTCTCCTGCAGGGTTAAGGGTAGGAGACGTTAATTTCTCACGCACGATATTACTGTGCGATGGATGTCCTCCCCTGAGGTGGGATGGGTGGGATTTATTGGGTGGACTACTCGAATGGTTCGCATATGTTCCGTTCTAGTCCTACCCTACTGCGGTAATGCAGTGAAAATGGTTAGAAAAAAGAAAACTTCTTTGACACGTTAGGCGACAAACGAGAAAAACTGAAAGCTGAAGTTGAAATTAAAGCTTTGGGCTTCCACGCAAGTCTGAGCAAACAGAGATTCGAATTTATTCATTAAGTATTGCTAAATACACAATTTCACGAGAAAATGTCTTTTGTACATAAATGCGGCTCAATGTTGCAATCTCTGAGCATGGCCTAACCGAAACATTTCTCTTCGGGTTGTTTTCACGATTCTGCGAAGCTCGCGAAATCGCCAGCAGATAACAGCCGGGTTTAAAGAGGAATTTAGTAGAACTAGGAAGAGTGAAACTTGATAGGCTACTAAAAACGAAGTTCGAAGGCTGTCCACCATCAACAAAATGGTGCAGCACAAATATGGAAAGTAACAGATGACAAAGACACCATAGACAGCCATGGCATTTATGGCTGATTTCTTCTCTTGGTGCGTTGTGTGTGCTCGCACCTGATCGGTCGGTTGAGGCTGGACACGAATTCGATTCTGATGATATCTTACAGCTTTGTAAATGCGAATATATGCCACAGTTGCTACCAGAAAACCGACAAATTGAAGACTCTCTGACACTCTGTTATTGTTCTTTGGAAGTGTTACGAAGATCGTAGCGCAAATAGCACTAGTTAGCCATATGGACCACAAAGCTATGTGAATCTTCCTCGAGATCACTAGTTCTTGATATCGCAGATGGAGTAAAACAGCAAGAAGTCTATCGATGGCGATGGCAAGGACATTCAGGAATGATGCACAACCCAGGAGAAATAGAAAGAAATAACTTATGGTCATCGCTTGCGGGCATAGGAGGTCAAAATGTTTTTGGCCATCCATTCCGCAACTTGTCGTCAACATAACTCCAATTACTGCACAAAACATTGGTTGCCCCAAAAAGCCCATAGCAACGTCCGAAGAGGCGAGACTAAGCAATATTTTTTTCATAGTAGCTGGCATCGACGAGGCTTTCCTTAAAGCTCGAATCACCAGGACATTTTCCACGGCTGCGGTGATCGAAAAAGTTAAGTTTACAATACAGAACAGTGTGAGAAACGTTCGATGCAATTGAAAGAGCTTTTCATATTCTGCTAACTTCTGGGCACAGAAATTGTAAACCATTTCAAACTCTTATGAATCAAATATCGCTTAGTTGCAGCTGATCGAATTTGCCTTAAGGGCAGTCTAGCAAAATCTGTCAAGTGAAACTACGGGAGAAATAAAGACAAAAATTTTGGGCAGAATCTGCCTAACCTCTCAAGTGCAGCCTGGAGCAGTCACTTGAATTTTACAACAGTTTAATTCATTAGATCGTCGGATGAAAAAAAAAACATACTCGTTAGCAATAACCATAGAAATATCAAAAGCGTCATTCGTGATAAGCAGTTGTTTAGCTGCAAAGCCAAATGCCATTGGCTAGAAAAAGCACTGTTTTAAGTTTTGGTGCTTTTTGAATAAAGACGTCCTTAGCTGCATTGAATTTATTGAAAAGACAGTTACTAAGAACAACAGTTAGAAACATTTTCACAACAAAGGAAATTGTACAGATAACCATTTTTGTATTGAATGATGAAAAATGATGGGATTCAAATGGGAATGATGATTT